CGTGTCCAAGATCCCGAGGGGAGAATGGAGGAGAAGGGATTGTGGCATGACCATCCCCCCTGGGGGGTGACTTCTCGCTTTCTTTCTCTATGTCTCTCTCTGTCTGGCGAGCGCACGCGCCCTATAGCGAAAACCTCTCCAAAAAAAAAAAAAAAATTGAGAATTAAAGACAGAAAAATCTTGAGAACATCTAGAGAAAAAGAACTTATTACTTAAATGGGAAAAAGTAATTTTAAAGACACATTTCTCATCTGAAACTGTGAAACCGGAAGAAAATGACATGTATTTTTCTTTTTGAAATTGATTTTAACAATTTTTTATTTTTAATTAATTAATTAATTTTACATTTATGCATTGAGCATCTAAGCATTGTTACAACATACAAAATATGATTTCCCATCCAGAATACACTGCATAGTGGCTTAATCACACATGTTATCATTGATAATTTTCCACTTATACTTTCATATATATATTGATCCATCAATCCCACTCCTGGATTTCTAACCAAAGGACAGGAGAACCCTCAGTTGGAAAAGTGCTTGCACAACTATATTTACTGCAGCATTAATCATGATTGTTAAGATATGGAACCAACCCAAATGTCCACAAACAGAAGAATGGATTGAAAAAGTGTGGCACATACATTCCATGGAATACTATTCAGCCATAAAAAACAACAAGGCCCTGGAATTTGATAGAAAGTGGATGAATATGGAAGACTTGTTGTTGAGCAAATCCCCCTATTTCTCACCCTCTGCCATTTCCTACCCTCCTTTCACACTATCTCTGGTGTTTACAGTTGCTTTCCACTTCTTTTTTTCCTGCATATTTTATTGAGTCACAAAATATCTTAAATATTCTAACTACTTTCAATAGCAATCTCAGTTGACATGAGCATATTTGTGAATACATGTCTGACTTTAGGTGTAAAACTCGGAGTAGAATTAATATACTATAAAGAAGCACCTAGGTGATGCTATATAGCTCAGTGAAGTCATTAAATAGGTATCTTTAATATATTTTTTTAATTTCAAGAAAATCACTTTTAGCTTTAATAAATCAAAATAAAAGAAATGTTAAGAGTTTTGCTTAAAACTTAAAGTCAGGAAAGAGGTTAGGATTTTGTTCAAATAGTAGGTACATGAACCTATCGGCAGTTCAAGATAAGACAAAAATCCTTAAATCTGGAAAACAAAGGCTAGAAAAAAATCAGTAATGTTTTTAGTCAAAAGTCAGAAGATTCTATTTCACCAGTTCAGTTTCATGTACTTTATCTTCTGTTGTGGTCCAATCTTCCCAGTTAAATTCTGGGATATAATATTCAACTACAGACTTGTCCCTACCATTATATTGGCCATTTTCCTAATTGTTTTTGAACTCTTATTTCTGTGTGTTTGTATTTAGTTTTCCTGGTATAGCACTCCCTTCAGAACTTCTTGGAGAGCTGGTCTGGTGTTGGTAAATTCTTTCAGGTTTTGTTTATCTGAGAATGTCCTTGTGTTTCCCTCTCATATGAAGGAAAATCTTGCCGGGTACAGTATTCTTGGTTAAAATTGCTTTTCCTTTAACACTTTGGCTATATTTTCCCATTCTTTCCTTGCTTGCATTGTTTTGGATGAGAGGTCTGCTGTGAGCCTGATGGGATGTCCTTTGTTGGTAATTTGATGTTTTTCTCTTGCCAATCTTAGTATCTTGTCTTTGTCTGTGGTTTTGGTCAACCTGGCTATAATGTGTCTTGGAGAAGATCTTCTTGGGTTAATTCTATTTGGGGTCCTTTGTATTTCTTTTTGTATTTCTTGTGACTGGATCTTTGAATGCCTTTCTAGGTTAGGAAAGCTTTCTTCCAGGATTGCAAGGAATAGATTATCAATGCCCTTATGAGTATCTTTGCCTTCTGGGATACCAATTATCTGGATGTTGGGATGTTTGATGATATTTAGTATTTCTTGTATATTATTCTCATTTTTTGGGGCAATTTGTCCAGTCTTTATGGTGGATTTTTCTAGGCTGGCGATTCTATCTTCTACATCTGAGATTCAATTTTCTGTAAGATCTAGTCTGCTTTTAATACTTTTAAGGGAGGTTTTGACTTCTTGTATTATAGTCTTCATCTCTAACATCTCAATCTGATTCTTTTTATGGTCTATATTTCCTCTTTTAGATCTTGCAAGAATTTCCTCACCTCTTGGAACTTATTAGCTTCTTTCTCCTGCCTCTTCTGCAGTTCATTGTCTCTCTTGTCTTCCGTATCTTTTAGCTCTATCACTATGAATATTCTAAATTTGTTATCTGACATTTCCATGAGTTTCATTGTATTGTCTGAAGATGAAGAGTAGTTATTCTTTCCCCTTTATTGGAGAGTTATTTTCTTGCTTTCTCATATTTCTTATGACCCTGTGATGATTTCTGGTTATTTGATGGATTGTGCATCTCTTTCTAATAATTGAAATTCAATGTAACTTCAATTAAATTGAGGAATGTTCTGACCCTAATCGTATTCAGATGTTTGGATACTGTTCACTTGGACCTGTCTAGACACTCAGTGTGTGGAAGCCGAGCAGTCAAGGAATGAAGTTAAAGGAAAAAGAAAAAGAATTAGAGAAGAGGAAAGAAGATGGAGAAAAAAAAAAGAAGAAAGAAATAAAAAAGACAATACAAAATTTTTACATTTTAATTTTAAAAAAGCAAAACATGAAAACCTCATGTTGCAATTGTGCTATGCAAAATAGATATTTCACAACTCAAGTTTAGTAGCCATCTCAGGATGGGCCTGAGTTTATGCTTCTCCTAAATGATACTGGGAAAGGCACATATTAGCACGATAAAGGAGGAGCTTGAGAGCCCCTAGAATAATTTCCCTTGAAAAAAAAATTAAAAGACTCAGGGAGACACAGAGGAACAGAGAGAGGCAGAGAGATGGAAAGAAGGATACAGAGGTAGCCCTACCAACTAGAAATGAATCTGGAGGAAGAAGTCTCACCAGAAGATGTTCATTTTTAGTCCCTGAAAGCAATATTTCACAGCTCAAGTTCAGTAGCCATCCCCTAAATTTGATTTTAAAAATTGCATATGTAAAAGCTGTACAATATGATTTTGATATTCATCTCAGCAGATTTCCAATATGGAAACAAATAATATTAAATGGTCCTGTTGCTACACTAGGATCTCTGGATTTATTCATACTCTATAACTACAATGTAGTCTCTTCAAACGATCTTACATTCTCTCCATTTCATGCCTGGTAACCAACAGTATGTTATCTCCATATAGTCAACTTTTCTTTTTTGGAGAGGTTTTTGCTATAGGGCATGTGCGCTCACCAGAAAGACAGAGACAGACAGAGAGAAATCACCCCCCAGGGGGGATGGCCATGTGGCAATTTCTTCTCCTCCATTCTTCTCTCAGGATCTTGGGCATGCACGCAAAGCACTCGGCGTGAGTTTAGGCCACCAGGTCTGGAACTTGAACAGCGGTTGACAACATAGAAATTCAGTGACATAGCCATTTTGCTAACTGCTGGGCCCCATATAGTCAACTTTTAAAGATTCTGCAAATCAGTAAAATCATGCAAGATATTTCTTTGTGTATCTGACTTCTTTCACATAGAGTACATCTTCATATTCTATCCATGCTGTTATTAGTGTCAGAATCCACTTTTTACTATGAATAATATTCAATTGTGTGTGTACATGTGTGTGTGTGTGTGTTTGTATGTGTATGATTGCCATGATTTTTAAAATCTATTCTTTTATTAATGAATATACAGGTGTTTCCATACTTTGGTTATTGTAAATAATGATGAAATTAACATGGGAACTCAGTCAAGATATTAATTTTACATCCTTTAGATATATACTCAATATTACACTTATTTAAATGTCAATTTGACAATAAAATATTCAAAACATCTAAAAATATACCATCAGGGCAATATCTAGAATGGTGTGGAACCAAAGACTTGGATAGCCTAGTCAGGGTGATACACAAAATTAACAATAATAGTGGCACAACTATAAACTATCTAAGAGTTCTCAGTATAAAGTAGAAGTGTTGACAGTGAAGAGAGAGAGTAGATTAATGTTGGATTCAGAAAGTAGAAGACTTTGTGATTGAATGTGGGATCATAGGAAGGAAAGTAAACCACTCTCAGCCTTCTGAATCAATAAACTGATTAAATTTCTGGGCCTCTCACCCGGGGTGAGCAAATTGGAGGTACAAGAAATGACAGTGAATCAGAATAAATGTGGTAGTCATTAGCATATAGAGAAAAATAAATTTCTCAAGGAAAAGCAGTCCAAAATCTTCAAGCATCCAAAGCACAGAATAGTTCTGACCATTCACAAGTTCCATTCACTCCCTGAGGGCATCTGAAATTCTGATAATTTTGCAGAAGTCACTTCTTTTACCTGACAAAGGAATTCACAGGTCATTCTTTTTTTAGTTTCCCATATCTTTAAGGTTGGAGACAGAGGCTAGGAACACAGGCCAGAATTTAATCGGCCCATAATGTCCTTCCCAACAGATAATCTTACTGCAATAAAAGCATCTTCAGTAATTTTATTGTCTGTTCTACTTTGTCATTTTATCTCAGACTGTGTATTTAGTCATAACCATTATTATCACACATATTTTGTTTAAGCTATTAGTCAACATTGGTAAAATATTAAAGAGTTGGAAGTACAATAACCCCACTATGCAACAGATAACTAATCTTGAAAAAATATGAATACAAATGATGTAGAATTTTCATCAGAATACTTTTTATGAGAAACATTTTATGTTAATATTGAATTAATTAAAGGTAACTTACTATGAACCTCTAATAAACTATTTTATATTTGCACAATCACCCTCCATAGTCACTACAAAGCTCCAAAATGGCTAAAGGACACATGGGCAGACATATTGCAATCACAATAAATTTTATTTTATTATGGAATATTTATTGTTATTTATGGAAAATTACATGTCAAATCCTACAAAGACACCGGGCATTACTAAGAAAATATTTTTCTTCCAAGTTGTCTCTTCAAAGCACCTTTAATCTCAGTATTCCTGAGACTGTAGATGAGGGGGTTCAACATGGGGATGACCACCATGTAGAACACAGACACTACCTTGTTCTGGTCAGTTGAGAAGCTGGACTTGGGCATCACATAAATGAATATAACAGTCCCATAGAACAGAGTGACTGCAGTGAGGTGGGAGGTACAGGTGGAGAAGGCCTTGCGACGCCCCTCGGTTGAGTGCATCCTCATGATGGTAATGAGGATGTATATGTAGGAGACAGCAATGACAATCACTGAGACAACAATGTTGGAGCTAGCAGAAAGCGTAGGCAAGACTGCAAGGATACTAATATCAGAACAAGAGAGTTCAAGTAAAGGTGCAAAATCACAGAAAAAATGATTGACTACATTGGGTCCACAGAATACTAAAGAAAACACACAAATAATAAAGGAACAAGATTCGACCAAACCACCCATATAGGCAACTAAGAGTAACTGTGCACAGACTTGCGTGGACATCTTGGCTGAATAAAGCAGTGGGTTGCAGATGGCCACGAAGCGATCATATGCCATGGCAGCCAGAAGGAGGCACTCAGTTCCCCCAAAGAAAGCGGCTACACCAAGTTGAAGGCCACAACCAAGGTAGGAGATTGTATTTCTTTCCACAAAGAAGTTTACAAGCATATTGGGTGTGACAGAAGATGAGTAGCCTATGTCAGCAAAAGCCAAGTGACTCAGAAAAAAGTACATGGGACGATGGAGCTGAGAGGAGATTCTAATCAGGATGATTGTGCTGAGATTGCCAAATACGGTCACCAGGTAGATGCACAGGATGATCACGAAGAGGACGACCCGAAGGACTGGATCATGTGTTAAGCCCAATAATATGAACCTGGTCACTGAAGTGTGGTTCCCATCCACTCCAGGATCCATGAGTCAGTGAAGCTGCTTCCAGAATAAGACTGAGAAAAACAATATATTAAGGAATTAAAAAATGTTATGATATTGTTTACATTAATAGATATGTAGAAGTTGTTATGATTATGTGTGTGTGTTTATATATATGTATGTATATATAGTATATAAAGGATTAAAAATTCCCATTTAATTTGTTTTGGAAGAGCAAATGTAAAATGTCTTGTGCTTATAAAATCAGAATATACAAATATCTTTGAATAGTCAAAAGACAAATCATAGAACCATTTTAATTACAAATTCAGAATAATTCTTTTTTTCTTTTTCTTTTTTTTTGGAGAGGTTTTTGCTATAGGGTGCGTGCACTCGCCAGACAGAGAGAGACAGATAGACAGAAAGCGAGAAATCATCCCCCAGAGGGGATGGCCATGCTGCAATCCCTTCTCCTCCATTCTTCTCTTGGGATCTTGGGCACACATGCACACGCGCCTGGCGTGAGTCTAAGCCACCAGGTCCGGGACTCGAACCGCGGTTGACTATGCGGGAGTCCAGCAACATAGCCATTACACTAACTGCTGGTCCCAAATTCAGAATAATTCTAATTTTGGTTACAGAATCACTTTCTCACTTCCTCAGTTAGGGTGCAGCTGTTTAATCATCCACATCTCCACTGTTACTCACTCCTTCCTCTCCTCCTAAAACCAGTGTTTTCGTACCCCAACCACATCAAACATAGTAGATACATCTTCCCTTTCACAAAGCTCAGCAAGATGACATCTCCTTCTGGCTTATATGAACCACCCTCCTTTTGTAAATACTCTCCTCCTCAGCCTCATCCAAGTCTTTAGCCTCCACCCTGGTGTCCCCTTGGTCCCAGTTCCAGCAGGACAGGTCCTCTTCTAAAAGGAAAGCTGCGTCAGTGAGGCCACACTAGCCACATATGAGGTCCTCCCTATGCCGATCCCTGCTGGGCTTCCAGATGTCTAGCACCATTGTGCTCCAGAAAATTACACTTTTGTTCTCCCTCCCTTCCTCATTTCTTGTCAGTATTCTGCTTTCTCATGACATCAATGCCAAGGAAGTATCTGGTCAATCCTAGGTCTTCCTGGCTCTCACAACATTCACTGATAACAGAGTGACTACGACGGACATGTAGAGGTTATTAAGAACAAGCATACCAATCCAAGTTCAGGGTAAAAATATATTTCTTATATTTTTATCTCTAAAACGCTAGAGCTTACATATTTATGTGTATTGTCTTTTTAGGTTTCAAGAACACCAGAAAAATTGTTTCAAATAATCAAATAATTTATTTACATGAGCACTTGAAAATGTTCATGGAAAAATGAAATTACAGCATGAGTTTATGTTTGTAGAAAAAAATTTGTAACCTATCCGTTTTTCATAATATATGTTTTCCTTGAACTTTTGTAGAACGCTTGTATGTATGCATGTGTTTATGTATGTGTGTGCATGTGTGTTTGTGTGTGTACATGAAGCACATAATATATATATAGATAAAATGTACCCATGAGCTCTAAAACTAAGGATTTAAAATATGATGCATTAAAACAAGGAGAATAAGTATAAAACAGAGAGTGAATTCTGTGAATATAGGATTATGTAATGAAGATAAATATAGGCTAACATTTTGAATGCTTAATTATGGGCAGAAGATTAAAAATATACATATAGTTCTATTAAATTTCCTTAAATTGATACTAAATGGTCTTATATTTTTCTATTTAATAGATGAAAAAACAGAGTTTGAATACGTTAAGTTACTTACCTAAGGTATGTACGAAACAGTGTAAACAGTATATGAAACCCATACAGTTTGAACTCAGTCCATTCCCTTAGAAACTCTGCTAGGAATAAAATTAAATGGCAGTTACAATTAAGTCAAGTATACTTGTAAGTGGGGGATAACAGGTGGGCTTTTCAGTTTTTTGACAGCTAATGTATAGAAGTGGTGCCCAGTTCAGCACACAGTTTGCAATGTTTCTCCATTAAGAATGGCAATTTTTAAAAAGAATTATTGATTTTATTTTATTTATTATTATTATTTAATTTGACCAGAGAGAGAGAGAGAGAGAGAGTGAGAAAGCAAGCCACCAGGTCCAGAACTTGAACCATGTTGGAGTCCTTGCCCTAACCACCAGGCCACCTGCCGACCCCAATAATGGCCATTTTTTTTAAAGAGAAATACGATTTTCTTGATAGGAAGTAAGAAATAGTAGTTTCAAATTAAGATTATGAATACAGTTGTCTAATATAATTTTGTTAAATATCTTTTGTATTTCCAATTAAAATATTCTTTTATCAAGTTGTATGAAATATTAATGTAATTACTGTGAAAAACATATGACTAATATTGAGAACATGCTTAAAATATATTTACTCAAAGACATCAAATCCTTTCCTAATGAAACAACGTTTTCTAACTGGAGCATTACAGGGTGCAATACTATTACTTTTAAAAGAGCATACAGCTGATTTTCAGGCTAACGGGCTTGCCCAGGTTCCCAGTCAATGGCTATGTTGAACTTCATCTCCAAGTTTTCTGGCTTTCTGCCCTTATATTTGTCCAGAATGTCTGGTTGCCTGTGATACTAATACATTCAGACAGAAACACAAGTAATCTTTCCAAAAGATATTTACTAGCTTAACTCCTCAAAGTTTTTAAAACCCAATGATTTTATTAGCATTATAGTTAAATGCTAAGTTTACATAATATTGAGGGCCATGTGAGTTTCTAGTTTTATGGTGGATAAATGAGGAATCTTGATAAACAGAATCAGGCCCGTTCATTTATAGTAAATTCACTGTGGAATGATTCGGTTAAAACTACTTGCTGGGACCAGCAGTTAGCATAATGGCTGTGTTGCTGTACTCCCATGTAGTCAAACGCTGTTCGAGTCCTGGACCTGGTGGCTTAAAACTCATACCAGGTGCGTGGGCATGTGTGCCCGAGATCCCAAGAGGAGAATGGAGGAGAAGGGATTGCGGTGTGGTCATCCCCCCGGGGGGTGATTTCTCACCTTCTGTCTCTCTGTCTCTCTCTGTCTGGTGAGCACATGTACCCTATTCCTTTAGGAAAAAACCTCTACAAACAAACAAACAAACAAACAAAAACAAAACTATTTGCTGACTGCTTGATTATAGCTACTCTGTTTCTCAACCATGGGTGGTGAACGCAGATATAACTTTGAAGTGTTCTCAAATGGCAAATAGAAATCAAGAAATTAGATTCACTCATAAAAGCCGATCTTACCTCTTGAAGAATTCAGAGATCTTGCTGTTTGTAATATAGCAGTGCTATCTTTTATTATTATTTGCCTTTGGGGATAATCCTCTGAAGATTCTAGATTCAAATGTGAATTAAAAAGCACCAGAAGTCATTATTACATTCTCTAGTGAATACTGAGCAGCTCTGTTCACACAAACTCATCTTGTCTCTGAAGGTTTCTGTCAATTCTCAAGTAACCTTTTTTTTTTTTTTCATTTCATGTAGGTATTGGTATACTTTAATTGAGAGGGTATAATACTATAAATTATCTGACAGTTAAATAAAGGTTTTTTTTTTGACTTTGCTAATTCAGGATAAAGCATACTAAAGTACCAATAGAAAAGAGTAACTCTAATTCATTCGTTTATTCAACATTTGTTCATTTTTTTAAGATCTTGTTTTTGCTGTATGGCATGTGTGTTCACCAAGAGACAGTGAGAAATAACTGCTCCCCACCAGGGCAGATGGCCACACCACAATCCCTTTCCTCCATTCTCCTCTTGGGATTTTGGGCACTTACATATGTGCACTGGGCGTGAGTTTCATGTCACCAGGTCCAGTACTCAAACTGCAGTTGAGCACATGGGAGTCTAGTGACGTAACTATTCTGTCATCTGCTAGTCCAATATTTATTTATTTTACAAGTAATTTGTCATGATAGAGGTAAGATGTGGGAAAAATGGAGTGGGATAAC